TTTTTGGTGATACCAGGGATTGAACGCGGGACCTGGGGCTTGCAAAGCAGACGGTGGAACCACTGAGCTAAATCCCCGGCCCTAAGGGGGGCTTTTAAAAAGATGAAAGTTTTCTGCAGTAGAGCCAAACCAGAAGTAGCAGACACAAGGGCCCAGATTAATTTAAAATTTCTCAGGCTCAGCATTATAGACATTTTGGGCAAAGTAATACTTTGCTGTGGAGTGCTATCCTGTCCTGTACATTATAGGGTTTTTTTTAAAGACAGAATCTTGTTCTGTAATTCTGGCCTTGAACCCACTATGTAACCCAGGTCTTGCCCCAACCTCACCACAATCCTCCTGTCTCAGCCTCCCAAGTGCTGGGTATACAGGCACATGCCACTATGCCTGGCTTCACTGTAGGATTTTTAACAGCTTCCCTGCACTCTGCTGTCATCTTGCCAGTAACATCCCCTACCTTTATCCTCCTAGTTGTGGCAACCAAAAATTGTCTCCAGACATTCTCAGGTGCTTTCTGGGGGACAGAGTCTCCCCTGGTTGAGGGACACTGGATTAACTGAATCATATTTCCTCTCTGTAGTCACTTTGGTTTTGATTAGCTTTAAAATGAGCTAAGAAGCCCAGCAGTTTGGGGACCTTAGAAAATTGAGCAGTAAAGATGACATCCAGCTGAATCTAAATAAATTTAAAAATGTGGAGTTACCTGAACTCCTTCAATCTGTTTTTATTTTTTCTCAAATTCTCACTGGATTTATTTTGGAGAGGACATCAAAATTTTGGCTGAAAATTTGCTTGGTATTGGTGAGAGATTTATTAGTGTGAAGGGTAGTGCTGTGTCAAAACCCGAAGATTGCGTATCCTATCAGCACTAGGAATCGGAAACAAATGTAGTTAAGATAATTTCCAGTGGGTGGCAGTATGTTGGGGTCACTTCTCTAATATTTATTATTGACTGATTTTTTAAGGCAATATTTGTCATTGACACTAATCTTCTTCCATTTCAGAAAAAGTGCAGGAACAAGGAATACCTCCAGAAACTAGAAGTAGCCATAATAATGGCTCACAAAGCACAGCAGACTGGCATTCAGGTGGCAAAGTGTTCAGACCACATACTTGTTCCTCTTCAGGGCTCGGACACAAAACACAGCACACTCCCTACTGTAAAAATCTGATTGTCTTTCCCCACTGTGCAGCCTATTTTAGAACTGCTCTTTTTTCCACGTTCTTCCAGATTCCCTTGACTCCTTAAATCACCCATTCTTCCCCACCCTTGAACAAGAGGGACCTTCTCTTGGCCCAAGCACAGTTGTGGTAGGGGACATCTTATCTCCCTGTTTGACTTCATGTCTCAGTTGTATGCACCCTACTTTCCCTTTCATTCACTCAGCTTTTACCCTCAGTTTCTACCCAGAGGATGTGGGGCTGGGAAGGAGAATGACAAACTTGTGAATTTTTTTCCCAGTTATTTGTTGAATCATGAATTAAATTGGAAAAGATTGTAACTAATCTCTGCAAAAGTGCAGATAAGGCTAATCTGGATATTTCAAATGAAAATGGCATGGAAAGTGAATACAACCCCCCCCCTCCTGTACCAGGGATGGGACTCAGGACTTGTGCTAGCTAGGCAGGCGTAGCAGCACTGAGCTACATCCCCAGCCCTCACAAATTTTGTTATAACTAAAACCTAGAAGACAGGGCAGATGTTCCTCCTGAGAGGACAGTGGATGATGCTTTTGTTTGTTGGTTCCCTCAGGAGCGGGTTAACTTGTTTGGTTTCTGGAGCCGATACTGTGAACCTGACAGCAATGAAGGTAGAAGTGGAGGAAGAGGACTGGAGAGGGAGGGGAGGGATTCTTCCATGAAGGCAACAGTCCAAGTTTTCTTTATGTTCCATGGCATCAGCCTAGTTCTGGATTCTATAATAAGAAGCTTTTATGAATGTCACTGATCAAATATTCGGGAGGATGGATAGATGGGTGGAGACAGGATTGGTGGGAAAGGATAAGAGGGCAGGATGTGTGTAAATAATGATGGACTTGGAAAAGGGTGGCACCATCAATCTGTGAATGTATGAAAAAATATTACTTGGACACAGAAGGTGGAGTTAGAAGATGAATTCTCTGGAAATTGTTTCATTAACTCATCAACTATTTGGGAGCATAAATTAGCCTTTTCTTTCTCTGTTCTAGACTTAACACTGCCGGAGGCTAACAGCCCTAAGCCCTACATGGAGGAAGAAGAAGAGGAGGAGAAAGAGAAAAAAGTAAGATTAGCTATAAGTGTTGGTTTAGTTCAAGATCTTGGATGTAGAAAGTTCCTGTAAGGATCTGGTTAGCATGGATTTATACCTACTTTTGGCTGTCCCAACCCTGCCTTGGGGTGGCCCAACCAGTTGGTCTTATCTCTTCAGGGTCTACAGGGAAGGAGGCTGTCCTCTTCCTCATTCTCTGGATTTCTCATCGCTCTCAGAAATTTCTGATTACAACCTCAGTTTATACTGTATTTCTTTGGTTCTACCTGGAGCAGTTTTAGTCTACACCTTGCTTCCTCATGTGGACACTTAGGACATTCAGTTGCTCATTTTCTTTGCATCTCTTTTGCAGGGATATGAAATACAGATTTTTTTTTTTACTTTCTCTTTTTAATTTTTAATTTACCTATCCTTGAATATGGCCTACTTTCTTTTATGCATAAAGCTTTCATTTTTTAATACTGAATGGAATGGGAAGATCACCACACACACATTTTCTTTGTGTTGCCACGTGTTAGACAGTATCAGGCTTACAGGAATCAGCCCACCCATTACATTATAGTATCCTTTTCTATTAAAAACTAGTTGTGTGACTCAGTTTATCTTTTTTTAAAAAATTTCTTTCCTATCCCCAGGACCCAAGTTTGCCTGGTACCAAGTCAGCTAAGATAAAGACCAAAAACCCTAAGCTGAGAGGTAAGCAAGCCACCTGGAAATGGGACATGTCACACAGTTAAGGCAGGCAAAGGCAGAGAGTATAAGGGGATCTGCAAATAGCTGGATCTCATTGATTGTCAGCTCTAGACCTGAAAAAACAGGCAAGACTACCTGATAGTGTTAGAGAGGAAGCTGTAGCCTCATTTAAATAAACACATTTTTGCTGTACTAGAGATTGAATTAAGGACCTTTGCACTGAGGTACATCCCTAGCCCTCCCCCTTTTTTTGGTATTTTTTAAATTTTTGAGAGAGGATCTCTAAGTTGCTAAAGTTGGCCCAGGCTGGGCTTGAGCCTGTTTTCATCCTGCCTCAGCTTCCTAGAATTGTGGGATTACAGGCATGTGCCACTGTGCCTGGCTGGCCCCCTCATTTTGTATTTTATAAACTCTTAGGTTAAAGTTCCAAGATTTTAAATTCTTAGCTAGGATGGACAACTTGCTGGAGAATGCAGGCTCTGAAGAGAACCTTAAGAGAAAGAGAAGATCTAGGGAATTAAAAAAAATCAAGATAATTGGGAAACTCTGAACCACTGAGAGAATTCACTAGATTGAGAATGAGCAGGGCAGATGGGCTACATAGTGAGTTCCAGAGCAGTCTAAACTACATAGTGAGACCCTGTCTCAAAAAGCAGAGACTAAATGTGGGGGGATCAACTGCCCTTGCCAAGGTGGTGTTTAGAGAGAAATGTATTTTCCTCATGTTTGGGGCATGACATAGCAGATGGACAAGACAAGATCCCAAAAAAGAAGGTAACCAAGAGACATCTGGACAGTGAATCCACAGTACCCACTGTACCCATAATGGAAAGAAAAGAAGGGGAAAGGAAACCAGATCTGAACCAACCAGGTAAGGCTCAATGTCTAAAAAGTTATGAGGAGATGAGTCCATGTCTGCATCTCCTCTCCCTGGTTCATTTCTGAACATTCCTACAGCTTTGCATTACTTTGAATAAAGCATGAAATTCCGAATGGAAAGGGTATGTCTTGGATTGTACCAAGCACACACGATTGAAACAATGGTTATTGATTGGCTGGATCCAGGCATGGGAGAATGGCAGGGAAGAGAGAATGTTTGTTGGGTTTTTCTATGGCTGGCTAGAAACCTCATGCTTGTTCCTTCTAATTCTTTCAGTTGCTCTGTGACTGGATGATTGACATTTTCAATATAAGAAAACTGATGCTCAGAGAGTTTAAAATTTATTTAAGACCCATGTTGAGCATGTGGCTGATTCATGGCTTGAATCTAAGCCTTTCTGGCCCAAAAGCCAGTATTTTGTATACTGAAAAAGTTCTCCTTTTCTAGAGATTTTATTAGCATAAGGATTTAGGAATTTGACTCATAAGAGTCAGGATAGACTGACCAGTGTTTTCCTTTTTCATTTAGGATCTAAGAAGAAATTTCAAATTCCCCAAAGCAAGACCTCAGCAGTTATCCTGTCTGAGGAAAAAGAAGTTAGAATTGTGCCAAAGGGCCTCAGCACACCAGCTCATTACGAAGCTTTTCCTTTGGAGGGGAAAGAAAGGTCTAGACCCCAAGAGCCACTGATTCTGGAAACTAAAAGTGTCTGCCTTGAAGATGAAGCATCCAGTGACCTGGACCTGGAGCAAATCATGGAAGATCTTGGAAGAAAATCACAATAAAGAGGGGAGCTGTGAGACTGAGATGATGCAGGGGCCTTCTCTGTGACCTTCTTTGATAAATAATGATCTCTTGTTCTCCTCTTTTTCTCTCTAAAGCAACAGGGAGAGCCTGTCCGTTCCATCCCTGAGACGTTCCCAAGTGTTTGGGTTATTAATTGGCTACAAGGTTAAAGAGCTCTGCAGTTTATGTTAATAAAGTGGGTTGCGTGTGTGGTTACTGTCTGACCACCTGTGCTATTTTGGGTCTTTCCCTTGTGCCATGTCACTGTGGCAAATCCTTGTCTCTGATGGGGGCCTGCACAACATGGGAACCCGGGTAAAGCAGTGAGACCTGGGAGAACCTCCAGAAAGACAGATCTGGTTTAAATCCTGGCTCAGCTACTTGAGAAGGCACTGTAACCATCTGCCCTTGTGCCCACGCCTCACCAGGGCACCTCATCATGCTGGGGTGCTGGGGAAGATTCAGTGAGGGGTGTGTGTGAGGCAGTCGCAGTAATGCTAGTTTAGTTATGGTGAGGGGACGTTATGGTTAGATTTAGGAGCAGCCCTGGATTCTGGGCTGATGTCTTTGTCGCTTTCCTATTGCTTAGACACAATTCTTAACACCCACAACTTAGGTTTATTTTGATGCATGGTTTCAGTCTATGGTCACCCAGTTCTGAGGCAGAAAAATAGGATGGTGGAAGTGCATGATGGAGGGAAAGGTACTCAGTGCGTGGCAGTCAGGAAGCAGAGAGAAGGGAGGATCTTGCCGAAGACCAGAATGTACCTTTCCAGTTCATGCCTTGCCATGACCCACCTCTAATCACACCCTACCTTTTGTTTTGTTTTGGTTTTTTGAGACAGGGTCTCCCTAGTAGTTGAGACTGACCTGGAACTCACTCTGTAGCCCAGGCTGGTCTTGAACTCACAGCAATCCTCCTGCCTCAGCCTCCTGAGTGCTGAGATTACAGGCATGCGCCACCACGCCCGGCTAGACCCCACCTTTTAACAGCACATTTAGCTCCTCACTCATGGATGAATCCATGTGAATCCACAGCATCCCTGTGATCCACTCACTTTCCACACACATGATAGAATAGGGGTCATTTTAGGCCTAAACCATAACAGCTGCTACCAGTATTTGGGGATTTGTGTTCCCTGGATTGAGGCAGTCACTGAGAAGAAAATCAAAATAAAAAAACCAAAAAAGTACAGAAGGGATCTTGGATGAGTTGTCTATTAGATTTTATTTTTAGTGGAGAAGCAGAAGTTGAAGTTGACAAGAGTTTTCAGATGCATTCAGACAAATTTTGTGGATCATTTTATTTTTGGGGGCAGAGGCTCACAAGTTGAAGAAACTGGTGTAGGTGGCTTTTTCAATTCCTTTCTGGCCTTCACACTTGCCTCTGATCTTAGCTATTGTTGGAAGCTGTGGTCATTCCTATTGGACTTTAAGATTGTCATTCAGTCCCACTCATTTGTTTTGTTCTGTTTGAGACAGGGTCTCACTATGTAGTTGAGACTGACCTGGAACTCACTGTGTAGCCCAGGCTGGTCTTGAACTCACAGCGATCCTCCTGCCTCAGCCTACCGAGTGCTGGGATTACAGGCGTGCACCACCATGCCCGGCTCCCACTCATTAGGTCTTTAGGACAGTGTACAGTGTCTCTTCCTGGGTGCTCTCATGGGAAGGGTGGCAGGAAGGTGCTCCTGGAGAGGTCAAATTGAGGAGGGAGGCATAGACAATGTCATTCTGTATGAAAAGCAAAAGAAAAATGTTAGACAGCAGAGACAGATCTGCCCCAGTCTTAAGGCAGCAGCTTGTACTGCCTGAGTACGCTGCCCTTCCCACACCACTTTCTTCTACTCTCTCTTTGCCAGACTTCACTGACTTTCCTTAAGACCCCAGTCTAAGCTACTTACCTTGGGGTTCAGCTGAGCATCTTTATGTTTTCCTAGGGAAAAAAATCAAGGAGTCCTGGGGTCAGGCGGTGTGACAGGTAGGGTGGACTGTAGTGAAGTTATCTGCTAGGTCAGGGCCAGGTTATGTGGGAGGGAAGACGTGTGGAGTGGGGAAAAGGGAAAACCAGGAGGTGGTGCATGTGTAGGCAGTGTGTTTTTGGGCAAGAGAGAAGCACCAAGGATAAAATGGGAATGGTGGTGGTAGGACTTACCCTTACTCCCAGTATTTTCATAGTTCTCCTCGCTGGTTTGGGCGAATTCTCTGAATTGGGTCAAGAGGATGAGAAATTTATTAGCTTCCAGGCAGAAAAGAGTTAAGACACCGGGGACTGAGTCTCTAAGAGGCTCTGCACCTGCCCTGACAGGCGATGGTGTTGGATCCTCAGCAGGAGGCAGTTTGGAAGAGGAGTTTGAGGGCCCTGGTGGGGTGGCCCGCCAGAGTCCCTCGGTGCTGAAGTTAGGGTTATTCTAGGGAAGCTGCCTGCGTTTGAGAAACGAGAAATAGGAAGGGCCAACCCTGTTCTCTCTGCTGACACCACCTTGGCTAAAACTGGGAGGATAAAACCAATTTAGTGAACAAACACGCTGGTTTCTTGGAAGGAGAAGGGACCGGGGAGCGGCCCAGAGGAAGGACAGGTAGTGAAAGGTGGAGCATATAGAGGATGGCTTGGATCAGGAAAGGTAATGGCAGAAAGATCAGGAGAGGAAGAAGAGGTGGGAGAATGAAGAGGGGAGGACAAGAGAGGCGGAGGAGTGGAGGCAGAGGACTCCTGGGTCCGTAGCACATTTGCTGAAGGAAAACATCAGATAAGAAAGCAGATGAGGGATGGGAGAGCTACTTGCACCCAGGAAGAGATATTCAAGATTCAGGGACACCAGATAAATGGAACGAGCTTAAGAACTGGAAGAGAGAAGGAAAGAGGATGCTGAGGAAAGACAGACACCCCCCCCCAGAGACTGGGCACTGTTCTCATTATCAAGGGACGGAGCCTGCAGAGGCGGGGGCCTGGCCTATTAGAGGATGAAGATGGATACACTGGGTGAGTCGGGGATGGGAGAGCTGCTCTGAAAGATGCCTTATTTGGTCTCACAAGGCAACTTCCCAAGCCAGTGCCCTTTCCCCTCCCCACCCCTTGGAGGACCATCACTCACCTGGCAGGGCTTGGGGCTTTAGTCTGCCGACCTGTAGGGGGACCGACAGCACATCAATACGACATCCATGGACAGACTGTCTCACCTTTTCAGCTGTATCCTATGCTCAGAAAATCCTTTCACAGACCCAGGAAGCAGAGAAGGGCCGTCCACATCAGTCAGTGAAGGGCTGGGTCTCACCAGCTCACACCTGCCCTGTTGTCCTTGACAGCAAATTCTAAGACGAGCTCTTCTGATCTTTTGCTCCTACATCCATCCCATCTCTTGCTTTGCTGCTTTCTCCCCGCTTGCATTCCTTGCTCACCACCACCTACCTAACTTGTTCATTTCTGCAGTTAACTCCACCACACTCTGACCTTACAGAAACAGCTAGTCTTCTTCCTCTTATCCTATAAGTTAGTGGTCTTTGCTCCCTTTTTATTTTTATTTATTAACTTTTGTTTTTTGAGACAGGGTCTCACTATGTAGCTGACACTGACCTGGAACTCACTATGTAGCCCAGGCTGGTCTCAAACTCACAGTGATCCTCCTGTCTCAGCCTCCTGAGTGCTGGGATTAAAGGCACGTGCCACCATGCCCGGCTTTTGCTCCCATTTTGAAGACTATTTGACTGTATATTTGAGCTTTATTTTTGGGCTCTCTATTCTGTCCCATTGGACTGCTTGTTTTATGCCAATAGTATGCTGCTTTGATTACTGCAGCTTTAAAATGTTTTGAAATAGGAAATGTAAGTCCTTCCCATTTGGCTAGTTAGTTTTTTTTTTTTAATTCATATGAATATCCAGGTGAATTTTTCATTTCTGTAAAAAAGGCCATCGTGATTCTCAGTGGGACTGTATTGACTTTGTAGATTATTTTGAGTAGTATGGGTATCTTCATATATTAATTCTTTTAATCCATGAATAGGAGATGTCTTTTTATTTGTGTGTTCTTTCATCAAGGTTTTGTACTCTAGTCATTGTACAAGTCTTTTGCTTCCTTGGTTAGGGTTTTTTCCCAAGTATTTTATTTCTTGATGCTATCTAAATGGAATTGTTATCTTAAACTTTGCTGAATCCTATAATTAGTTCTAACAATATTTTGTGGAATCCTTAGTTCTTTCTTTTTTTTTTTTTTTTAACAGTCCTGGGGATCGAATCCAGGGCCTCAGGCATGCTAAGCAAGTGCTGTCCCACTGAACCATATCCTCAGTAGTTGTAAAATTTTGAACAGAATGTGGCTTATTAAGCTCCCCAGGCTGGCCTCAAACTTGGTATGCTTCTACCTCAGTCTCTCAAGAAGCTGGGATTATAGGAGCATCCTAACAGGCCTGGCACATCTTCAGCTTTTCAACATGTAAAATCATGTCCCCTGCAACCAGAAAATTTTACTTCTTTTATTCCAGTTTTGGTTCCTTTTATTCTGTTTACATCCCTAATTACTCTGGCTTGGACTTACTTGGATTACAAGTAGTGAATGTGGGCAACCTTGCCTTACTCCTAATCTTAGGTGTAAAGTTTTCAGTCTTTCACCACTGAGTGATATTAGCTGTGGATATTTAATAAATGACCTTCATTAGACTGAAGTCATTCCCTTTTAGGCTTGTTGGATGTTTTCTTATTATGAAAGAGCATTAAATCTTATCTAGTCCTTTTTCAGAATCAGTTGACATGATCAGACAGTTTTTGTTTTCCTAGTCAATGGATGTGATAGATCACATTTATGGCTTTTTAAAATTAATTAATTAATCAATTATTTTTGTAGTGCCAGGACCTTGAAAATACTAAGTAAGACTTCTAGCTTTTGGCTTACTTTGTGTGTGTGTGTGTGTGTGTGTGTGTGATACTGGGGATTGAGCCAAGAGTTTTTACACTGAGTTAGATCCCTAGCCTTTTTAAAATTTTTTATTTTGAATCAGAGTCTCATTAAGTTGCCCAGGCTGGGCTGGGATCTTCCAGAGTGCTAGGATTACAAGTATGTGCTACCACACTTGGTTCTTGACTGACTTTTGTATAATGAACCATCTTTTCATTTCAAGGATAAATCCCACTTGTCCATGATGTTTAACCCTTTATATGTGCTGTTGAATCTGGTTTCCTAATATGTTATACTGCGTGCCTGTATTCCCAGCTACTTGGGAGTGAAAGCAGGAACCTTGCAAATTCGAGGACAGCCCTGGCAAGTTAGCAAGATTCTCTCTCAAAAAAATTAAGAAGGCCTGGGGATGTAGTTCATTGTAGAGCATTTGCCTGGTATCTGTGAGGCTCTGGGTTCCATCCCTAATACCATCAAAAAGGAAAAAAGAAAAGGGTTTTTAAGCATAGTCAAATGCCAATGGGGAAAACACAATCATGTACAGTCACAATTTTAAAGATTTTATAGTTTCTCATATGAGTTCAAAGCCCAGTTCCTGTTTCTTCAGTCACTATTTCAGACATCCTCTTCCAGTCTCTGACCATCTGTTTTTTCAGTACCAGGGAATGAACTCAGGACCTTGTGCTTTTGAGGCAGGCAGTGGCACCACTGAGCTAAATCCCCAGCCCAAGTCTCGGACCATCTTCCTCATTCTCAAGGGACAACCACTGTGGTGTTTGCTCTGTGATAATTTTAGCAATTTTTCTTATGCCATTGAATTTACTGATCTTTTTAAAATTCATGATTATTGGCTTTTTGACTTAGGAAGATAATAAAATAATCCTGGGTTATAGAATACTGTCACATGTTTTCTTCTATTTTAGGATTATTTTTGCACATTTAAATCCTTGATATCTATAGAATTTATTTTGATGAATGTTACGAGGTAGGAGATACCACTATTTTTTTGGATGCCCACCCACTTATCCTATTACCATTTGTTGAAATACCATGTTTCCTCTTCAGTTAGAAATGTTACCCTTTAATCTACTGAATTCCCACATACATTTGAGTCTGTTTGCTTCTTACATTTGTTTGGGGTTTTTTCTTTTCTTCTGTTAGTTTATGTCTGTATCACTATACCAGTATCCCATCTTCTTAATTCAGTTAATTGTAAGAGCTAATGCTCAGATAGTGGTTATTCTAAGCTAGGATCTAGTTTAAATGCATTACATGTAATCACCAGGACAACCCTACAAGGTGCTGTTCTTATCCTCCTTTTATCTATGAGGAAGTTGAGCATTTGTGCCACGGTACATTTGTATCACAGTGCCAAAGTTCCCACAGCCAGGCTGAGAAAAGCCTGGGCTTGACGTCTTTTCTTCTGAAACATGGTCTTCTGTTTGTGTTCCCTATTTTTCTTGGCATCTGCAATGTAGCCTTTTTCACCCAAGTTGACAATTGGGTGAATGTTTTCCACTCCCTTGCCTGTGCATCAACATGATCACTAAATCTCAAAGATTTTGCTTCTCAGACTTTCCAAGGACCTAGCCAGTTCTTCCACATGCAGCATCACAGCGTTAAACTGATCCAGCCTGGCCCACGTCCTACCTGTCCCCTGTGCATGGATGATATCTTCACAGCAGGATGTTGAGGTGTACTTTGTTGCTTCACATTTCCTCTGGGCCAGAGGCTCTGGGAGTGACTTACAAGGTCCCCTCTCATCTCCTGCCTCTGTGCTAAGGTACTTACAGTTCTTATAATAGATTCTGCTTGGCTGGCCAGTGACTGTCCTTTCCATCACCCTTAGCTTTTGTCTGGTTCTTTCTTTTTATTCTTTGGGATTTTTTTTACAGGTTTTATTTTCTTTGGGAAGTTCTCCCTGACTCTTCCTCTGACTTTTGTTAGCACTACCACAGCTCTTTTCTAATGAGCAGCTAGCCCTTGAGGCCCACGCTCCCCCCACCGCATGCAACTCCCAACCACTGAATCTTTTAAAAAGCAGACTGTATGCTTCATTTAGTTTTTATTCTCGCCAGGTTCTGGAATGCGAACACTAGTGTAGTCCTTCCTGAGCTGAGCCAAATTCCCGTTCCTTCTGCTCTTTTCTTACTTTCCCCAGAACTGAGCCTTTCTTTTTCATGAACCAAAAAGTGGTAATTTGTGAGAAATGACTAAATCAAAGAGGAAGTACTGTAATGGCAAATGATCAGATTCTGTGGTCAGGGATTGGTGGTTCTCAAATTTGATTGCACACACACCCCACTTGAAGAACCTGCTACAACTGGAAATTCCCCAGAACAGACCCAGAGCATGACTCACACAGTTTGAGATGGACCCAACAGAGATCTGTGTTTTAAAGAAGCACCTTCAGTGATTTTGATGCAGGTAGGATCTGAGAGACACTCAGCTAGGAATCTTGGGAGAGAGCTGGTCCTGGACCACTTACCTTTCTTCCTCTGCCACCCAAAGAAGACCGTCAGCCCCACAGTCATGGTTAAGAGTGCAATGGCAGCAGCCACTGCCACCCCCACTGTTGCTCCCAGACTCAGGGACCCACGCTTTGAGTTCTTCTTTCTTTCTGTGTAGTTGAGACCGGGTGTGGTGGCTTTAGAGGCTACACTGGTGGGACTCCACATGGTGGTCTTGACAGCTATGGAGAGATGAGAAATAAGCATATCTTCCCCTAGAGAAACAGGTGTCTGGGTGAAGCTGTTGCATCTTTTTCACCAGTTTCCCTTCTGCATGGGTAGAGGGGCAGCACTCAGAAGTTCATACCAGGAGGAAGTAACAAGGAGAAATGCTCAAGGTTTAGAATCCAGATCACCCAACTCTATACCACTTACTGGTGGTGTGTCCTGAGACACTTCATCAGTTACACATTAGATACCTAAATCATAGAATTAAAATTTATCTTTATTGTTGTAAATATACGTAAAAATATCATTTTAACCCTATGAAAGTGTACAGTTCAGTGACACTAGATACATTGTTTTGCATCTATTATAACCATCCAACTCTAGAACTTTTCCAGCTTCCTAAATGAAAGCTCTGAACCCATCAAACGGGTTCCCATTCTCCACACTGCCAGCCTCTGGCAGCCATAATTTGACTTTCCATCTCTAGGGATTTGACTATTGTAGGGACCTCCTCTGATGACACCCTGTAGTACATGTACTTTTGATGGTTTTGATACAGGGAAGAGCTGTATAACAATGTTTTGGTCAGTGGCAAACTGCATATCCAACAGAGGTCCAATAAGATTAAATAGCTTAATTTGTGTCAAGTCTCAGTGATGTTCATCAAAGAATGGAGTCACCTAAAATTGTCCTTCTCAGATTGTAACATCCTTGTTAAGCAGCACATGACTGAGAAAAATCTGTACAATATTGAGTAGATGTTGGAAATATGTTTTCAGGGTTAAATTAATACCTATTGCTTATTAGATCCTATAAACAGATTATACCTTCTTTGTGGGTGTTTAATGCATTACTTAAAAATTGACATAGTACTCAGTCATACAAAAAAAAAATCAGACATCGGCAATATCTTCAGATGAGTGTGGGCCAAATTCTTTGTTCATGCTTAATTGGAAATTAGGAAAAGTCACATGTATATAAGCATCACACTGTGCGTATGTGTCAATAAATTATATGTGATGATAAATTATGTCAATTAAAATAAAAGTTTGAAAACAGTAAAAATATAAATATAATCTCTTATTTGAAACTGAAAATTTTAAAAATTAATCAGAGAAAATATGTAAGAACATTATTTAGAAGTTAAAGCTTATGTGTGTATAAAACCTGAAATGTGACTAAATTTAAATTTTAAATTCTTTCATTATTTAAAATGGGAGGAAATTTTTTAAATGACCAAAACATTCAATTTCCAAAGAAAAAGCACCAATCCCAGAGAAGCCAGCCCATGGAAACTCAAAGGCAGCAAGTAGTGAAGACCTGCTTAGGAATAAATTTATTGATAGATATCAATAGAAGAAATTAATGCAGGAACTGGTTATTTAGAGGAAAACAAAAAAGACCACCCTATCTAATAGTTAATTGATCTCATCAGTGAATGTATGTTCAGTAAGCCAATAAATGTAAAAATCTCTATGGAATGGATGTTTTTTGAAATAAATATTAATTTTAAAATTTTGATTTAAAAAACAGTGCACCTGAACTGATAGGTACACAAAGAAATTGAGAATGCTATTGAAGAAGTACCTTTTGATGTTTCCACATACATAAATCAATAAATATAACTCAGCACAGAAATAGAATCAAGTGTAAAAATCACATGATGCTCTCAACAGATGCAGAAAAACCTTAGAGTCAAACATTCCTTCATGATAGAAACTCAGAAGAGCCTAAGTATGGAAGGACCCTACCTCAATATAATGAAAGTTATATCCCACAAACTCACAGGAAACATACTAAATGGACAAAAACAGAAGGATTTCCTCTAACAACAGGAGCAAGAAAGGGTGTCCATTCTTGCTACTCTTGTTCAATATAATATTTGAAATTTTAGCCAGAGCAATCAGATGAAAGAAAGAAAAGGGATATAAATTAGAAAAGAACAAGTCAAATTATCCCTATCTGCAGATGACATGATTCTTAGAAGAACTCCACCAAAAGAGACTTTAAATCTGATGAATAAAGTGACAGGAAAATAATTAACACACAAAATCAATAGACACCAATAACGAACCCCCTGAGAAAGAATTTAGGAAAGCAATTCCATTCTTAATAGTTTCACAAATGTGCACACACACACACCCCTAGGAATAAGCCCAGCAAAGGACATGAAAGCCTTCTGTAATGAAAATTATAGAACACTGAAAAAAGAAATTAAAGACACTAAACTATGGAAAGACCTCCCTTGCTCATGGATTGGCTGAATTAACGTTGTTAAAATGGTCAACATGTACCAAAAGTAATCTACAGATTCAGTGTAATCCCCATGAAAATACCAATGAAATTCTCCACAAAACTAGGAAAAACAATTCTAAAATTCATATGGAAGCACAAAAGACCCAGACTAGCCAAAGCAGTCCTGAGCAAAAACTGCACTGCTGGAGCCATCACTATACCTGCTTTCAAATTATAGTACAAAACCATAGTAACAAAAACATGTTACTGACACAAAAATAGGCACATAGACCGCAGCATGGAATAGAACACACACACACACACACACACACACACACACACACACACACAGAGACCTCATACAACTACAGCTATCTCTTTCTTGGAACAGGAGCCAAAAACATGTTAGAGGAAAAGACAACCTTACTGACCTCATTCACAACTGGGATATCCATAGGAAAAAAACTGAAACTAGATTCCTAACTCTGTGTACAAAATCAATTCAAAGTGGACCAAAGATCTAGGTGTAAGACCTTAAACTTTGAAACTGACAGAAGAAAATACAGGGAGAATACTTGAAGTCATATCCACTGGCCGTGTCTTCCTGAACAGGACTCCAGTTGAACAGGAAATATTAAGAATCAACAAATGGGACGACCTCAAATTAAAAAGCTTCTGCACAGCAAAGGAAACAATCAACACAGTGAAGAGACAGCCTCTAAATTAGGAAAAAACCTTTCAACTGCTATTCTTCTGCTGATTAATATGGAGAATATTAAAAGGCCTCAAAAACTTAACAACTAGAAAATAACCCAGTCAATAAATAGGTAAATGAATTGAACAAACACTTCTCAAAAGAAGTACAAATGACCAATGAAGACTGTATATGAAAGGATGTTCATCTTTAACCATTAGGGAAATGAAAATCAAAGCTACACTGAAATTCACCCTAGTCAGAATGGCTACAATCAATGACACACTAATGCAAGTGAGGAGGAAAACACTTCTACACTGCTGGTGGAAATGCAAATTAGTACAGCAACCTTGGCAATCTGTCTGGCAATTCCTCAGAAAACCAAAAATAGAGCTATCGTTTGATCTAGCTATACGTACCACTCTGGTATATTCCTAAGAGAGCTAGAGTTGCCATATTATGGTTATATCCACATACCCATATTTATTGTGGCACAAATCACAATCCATAAATTATAAAAACACCCTAGGTACCCATCAGCAGAAAATGGATAAACAAAATATGGTACTGTATACACAATGGACTGTTAGTCAGCTATAAAGAATGAAATCATCATTTTTCAGGAAACTAGATGGAATTGGAGATCATCATGTTAAGCAAAATAAGCCAGACTCAGGAAGTCAAATACTGCATGCTTTTTTCTTATAGGTGGACTCTTAAAAAAAAAAAAAAGACAGGAAAGCAGAAAGACTATTGCGAAGAGGTAGGGGATTAGGTAGAGAGGGGGCAGGCAGATAATTGGGGAGGATGAAAATAATAAAAATGTATGCATGCATACATGTACCAAAATGAAGCCCACTATTTTATAGGGTGAGGCAGACAGCTTTTTGTTTTTTATTTATCTATTTTTTTGGTACCAGGGATCGAACTCAGGACCTTGTGCTTGCAAGGCAGATGGCAGCACCACTGAGATAAGTCCCGGGCCTATTTTGGATAATATGACTTAGTGACATCAAAAATTTTTTTTAAAAAAGAAGTACCTTTTATAAACATTCCAAGTTTAGGAAGTTATATGGATAAATTCTTGTAAAAATGTAGGACACATGTGGACATTTCTAGTACATAGGGAAATATGGAAAACACTGCAATGATAATTCATTCAATAAAATAACACCATAATCCTGGTGCTGATATCCAGTCACATTTTTTACAAAAGTGTATTAAAACAAGAGGTGGCCCTTTTCTTTTTAAATGATCCGAGTGGAGGAAAATACCAAGAGGTTGCCAAGGGTTTAGGGAAAGAGAAATTCTCCTCTACATTGAGAGCCTATGTTGGTATAATCTTTGGTAATGAGGTTTGTATCTAGGGAGATTCTTTTCAGTGTTATTTGTGACGTGGCACCTACTTCAATGTCTATAACACAGGAGATTGATTAAATAAATCATCGTAATAGCTACAATAGGATAATATACAGTCATTTAAAAAAGTGCCCGGATGTCTACACGCTGAAATGAAAAGAGTTCAAGGTACATTAAGTAAAAGTAACAAGTTGCAGAGCATAATTGAATGAGTGTGTCAGGTATCGAGGCCTACAGAAGAGTCCATTTCCGCAGGAAGAGAGATACAGTGATAATGGAGAGAGAAAGTGGACAGAATAAGGTGTTACTGTACTATTCACTTCACTTCCTTCTGTACCGTTTCAACATTTTTGTTATGTGCGAGTATCACCAGTACATTATGAATTTTTAAATGTAACATTTTTCAAAGTTGCACAGGCATGTAGTTTAGAGTCAGCAAATGTCACACAGCTTGGAAAAAGCAGCAACATCCTGTGCAACCCCCACATTTGCTTCCCACTCCCCAGAGGCACTATTTTCAGCAACTTCCACTATTTCCCATTCCCCTTTCCTCTTTCTCTCTCCCCTCTCTTCTCCCTCCCTTTCCTTCTTACAGTCCTCCGAGCCTTCGTCTATTGCAGATGTGCGCTACCATGGTCTCCATTTAACTATTTTTTTAAAAACACCTTCACCTTATATTTCTAAATAACATGTGTCTGCTGCTGTTGCTTGACTTGGTTGTTTTAAAGGGTGTCTATTTACCGTCTACCGTTGAAGTTAAGGATTTGGATCGTAACACCTCCTTTTCTTCATCTCACTCAACTGTTCAGATGGCTTTTTTGTTGTTGTTGAGACTGAGTCTCCCTATTTTCCCTAGGCTGGTCTTCAACTCTTGGCTTGACGGATCCTCCTGCCTCTCAGCCTTCAAGTAGCTGGAACTACAAGTGTGCACAGCCACGTCCAGCTGTTTGGCCTTAATACATGCCTTTTGGATTTCTTTATTTGGATTCTGGGGCATCCCTTTCTTGCTCCTCCTTTTTTTGCTCTTGGCTCTTTCTCTCTCTTCCTTGTTGGTTCCTCCTCCTGGAGGTTGTATCTCCCTTTGCAGCTCATCTCTTGACTCTCTGCTTCCTCTCTGCCTTACCTCTCTGCTATAGCTTTCTGCCTTGAAGCCAGCCAGTTATGGACTGAAACAGGAGCCAAAAGAAACCTTTCCTCCTTTAAGTCATGGGTATTTGGTATAGTGTCTCAGCGATGAGAAAAGTAAGATTTTCAATCAGCCATCTAATTTCTCTCCACTGGGTTAGGGTTCAGCTCCTCTGGTCTCCTAGGCCAGATCCATCCATCTTCTCAGCCTCTCAAATTTCATTTTTGGCCATCTGGCTCACAGTTTTTGTTCTTGAGTGCTTTTGTCTTAAAGAATGCCTTTTGCTTTAGTGCATTTTGAGATGGAGAGTTAAGCATGTGCCATCTTGGCCAAAATTTATGCCCTATTTTTGTAATAAAATTATTTTAAAATTCAAAAATTAATCTTTCTCTTTAATAACTCAGTGGTTCTGCTGCCTGCCTCACAAGCACAAGGACCCGAGTTCGATCCCCAGTACCAAATAAATAAATAAATAAACACATAAAATAAAATATAAAGTATATCAACAAAAAAAATCTTATGAATGCTCGCTTTGGCAGCACATATACTAAAAAAAATCTTATGAGATAGCTACATAATTTTGTAAAAGAACACTGCCAAGATTTATCGAGGATGTTAAGTGGGATCCATTCCTGCCTGGGAAGATCATATATGTTTGCTCTTTCTTCAATTGCTTAGTAGGTTTAAATGAATTAAGATTCAAAAGATCACAATGAGTGTTTTCTCTGAATTTGGCAAACTTATTCTATTTCCATGCAAGAATAGGACAGTAACACTAACAAAGTTTTTGAGGAAAGAGTAATGTGGTTGAGAGGGAAATAGTCTCATCAGCCATTGAAAGGTGATAAAGTTACGATCACAAAACAGGGTGGCTCTGGTAGAAGAGAAAACAGACCAGTGAAACAGAACAAACTAACCAGAAATGGAGGCTACACTTCAAAAAAATCTACAAACCAGGCCTACTGCTGGGAATGTAGCTCAATAGCAGAACATATGCCTACCATGTGTGATTTGAGTCTCAGCACTGCAAAAAGAAAAAAAGGGGGGATATAGTGAGAAGATAAAAAATACTCAATAAGTGGGTTGGGATTCATTAGTTGCTTGCCATAAAGATCATTTTTTTTGTTGCGTCTTTTATGCAATATACCAAAATAAGTTTTCACTACTAAAAAGATTCTTACTGTGAAAAGAAATAAAATCATACAAAAAGTAGGAAAACATTTTGAATTTAGAAGTATTTTGAGCCACTAATGGGAGATGAAATTTTTTCTTAGAAAAAAAGAAGTCTTACAAAGGAAAATACACTTAGAATTAATTGGAAAAATTAAATTATGTAGGGAAAATCAGCAAGCTAAGCACAAATTAGTTATATTTACTGCATTTCTTTAGTTAGGGATATCTTTGCTTGCTGGTCCTTCAGTCAGATTTAAAAATTTTATTTGGTTTTTAAAATTAAGGGTGCAAATATCTGATTTAATTAATTAATTAAAAAATGTATTGATGAGGGCCAGGGATTTAGTTCAGTGGTTCAGTGGCCTGCCTTGCAAGTGCAAGGACCTGAGTCCAATCCCGGTACCAAAAAAAACCCAAAACAAAACAAACAAACAAACAAAAAAATGTATTGATGAAAAACTTATGGTAGAGCTGAAGGTATAGTTTGCTACCATGCCTGAGGACTCGGGGTCAATCCATAACCCTCCAAAAATAAGCACAAACACAAAACCCTAACCCTGATAATAAATGTGACAGAAGCAGAGAAAGGAGAAGGAATTAAAAACAGAGGAAGAGGTTGACTGAGAAGAACCAAAATCTTTCAGAAAAGGCCATTTAAGGAAATAAGTGAACCCTCAAGTTACCAGCTTAGCATATGGGTAACTTTGGTCATGACCAAAATTTTAGCTTTAATTTACAACCTAAGTCTTGACTTACAACCCAAATGCCAGCCGCTTGTGGTTTCAGATGATCTCAGGTACAGATTAAATCCTTACAGAGGTCTGGAAGGAATATCCCCACACCCTTTCCTGTGTCAGGTTAATTGAGAAATCCGGGCCAACATCTCTCTAAGGATGCTGAGATCTGTCTGTATGCAAGAGAGAGGCTTTGAAGGCTGTGTAGAGAAGCTGAGCCTTCAACTGACCAACTTGAGTTACAACCAGCTTCCTAAGTCAAGGATCCACTGTATATAGGAGGCACTGGAAATTGAAATCTAAGGCTAAGGTGCGTAGTTCAGGCCTTGGAGCCATGCCCCCTTTGGGCTGTAACCAGCACAATGGTTAAGTCAGGGCAGTGATTCACAGAGAAAGGCAGCATCTGTCCTGGTAGGGAGGACATTAGTGACACTGGTGAGAACTGCCAAAACAAATGGCTATTAAAAGCCAGCCCATTTAGACCACTTAGTTGATAAAAAAATTTAAAATAAATTCTGCCAACAATGCATGACTTCTTGCCTCCACCTCAGAGACATCCCCAACCCCACCCATGACTGCTCTGTAGACAGATAAAGGGAGATTCCAATGCTACAGCCCTGTGGAGTGCTATGGCAGGTCTGTTAATGCTGCAATCTCATTATTAGGTCAGCAAGGAGACCAACTCGGTATGTGAGGCCATGGTAAGAGAAACCTCTGCAGTTACTCTGTTCCTCTCCAGTCCTACCTGCATTACTAGCATGGTGGTGAGGGTGCTTAGGCCATGCTGGCCTCGGCCTTTCTGTGTGGTTTGGGAACTGAGTGGGAGAGGAAGTGGGGAGGATGGGAAACCAGGATGGGGGTCACCTGGGGCCTGAAGGACACTGAGGTCATTAACTGGGTACCTACTCTATAGTCTGGGCTAAGCTCAGGGCAGTGGTTCTTCGCAGGGAGCTCACTGAGTCCAGACACAGGATGGAGCGAAGGAAGCCATAGACAAGTCACAGCCGCCTGAGAGTGATGGTGTGAGGCAAAGAAGCCAAGGCGGGCAGAGCAGTCTGCAGGAAGAGGGAAGATAACTGGGGAGTTTGTCAGGTGCTGGAGCCTCAGGGGTGGGGTTGGGACTGGATCTGAGGAGTGAGCAAGGAACAAGGTCAGGGGGCACAGCTCAGGTTTGGGGACAATTATAGGAAAGAGAAAAGGAAAAATAAGCAGAGGATCCGGGCGGAGAGAGGAGCCTGAGAGAAGGGTCACAAGGTATGGAGCCTGAGGCGACAATGAAGGGATTATGACACCAGAGATAGGAGAACAAAGGTTGAAGCTGCAGTTGTAAGAGACAGAGGAGCCTGGTTGGTGTGGGCTCACCCGGGGTGACGGTGACTCTGGTCCCCTCGATGGACTGCCACACCTCTGTGCCATCGCTCTGTGTGTCCAGCTGGACTCGGCAGAAGTACACGGACTGATCCTCTGCCCGCAAGTTCTGGATTCTGAGGGAGCCGGAAGTCTCACCCTTTGTCCAGTTCAGGGAGAGCCGGTTCTTAAAACCCTTACAGGTGAAAGGTGGGGTTGTGTTGTAGAAAAATTTCCCATGGAAGTGCTTCCATCGCCAGAACAGCCTCACTTGGGGATCCTTTGCCAACTTCCAGGGGTGATAGAAGGAGAAGGAGATGTCAATGGAGCCACCCACGGGAGCAGACAGGTGTGCTGGCTGAATGACCCCAAAGGGGAGGACATTTCTGCTGGATCCTGCTGAGTTACCTGGAAGAGGTGGGAAAAGAGGTTGAAGCCCCTGTGGGAGACAGGACACCTCAGAGCTCCCAGCACCTTCATCCACAGGAGTCGTGTGACAGATGGCAGGACTGTCCCTCTGGCCTGGAGCCCCCTTCTCCAGGTGTGGAGCAGGACCGCGGCAAGGGTCTGAGCAGAGCGCCCCGTGAAGCAGCCCTCTGTTGAAGGTGGGTGGTCTGGCTGACTTCTCCCACAGACCCCTCTTGGGTGCCCACTCACTGAACGGCCCTGTTCCCACGGGTCCCTCCTGGGTTTTGGTCAGAGTCCCTGCCAGGGCCATCGCTGTTACTCACCAGCTTGCAGGGACACTGATGGCAGCAGCAGCAATGGCAACAGGACCCAGCCCATGGCCTGCTCTCCTCCAGGCTGTGAGACAGGCAGAGCCATCAGCACAGGACAGCCACTCCTGGAGGGGCCCTGGGGACTCGGGAGAGGCGAGATCTGGGCAGAGTGGTCCGGAGAGCGGGACCAGCTCCTTCAGAGGACCGGACCGAGGAGAGTGTGGCCCTCCCATCTCCACCCCCTGTGGCCAGCACTTCCCTTATCAATCTGACTTCCTCTTTTCCTGTGTTGCACAAGGGTCTCCCTGTGGACCACGTCAAGGTAGCTCTGTCCTCCGTCCCCAGCCCTGGTCTTCTGCTGAGAGGCCTTGACCCGATCTTGGCCTCGGGACCTCCCCTCGCCCTCCTGCTCCCCACCTTACCCACTCGCTCTTGGGCCTGTGCAGCCGTCTCTCTCAGACTCTTCTTCTCCCTTTGTATTTACCTCTCTCCATCATTCCTGCCCTCACCTCCTTCTGTCTCTGTCTGTCTTCCCTTTGTTTCTCTGAGCGTCTCCCAGTCCACCTGTCCCTCAAGGCAGGGAAAGCGCTGTCCACCCAGCACAGGCTGTGTCAGGGAGAGGAAAGGTTGCCATGAGACTCTACCCAGCTGTGTCCCAGACTCAGCTTTGGAGAGGATGAGGGGTGTGACAGTGGCGGTCACCCTCCCTGAGTCCCCAGCCCCAACACTGGGTCCCCTGGCCCGCTTCTTCTCCCCTCTCTGCAAGGCAAGGTGTCTCCAGGCGGCACCAAGGCCTGGTGGCCCCTCCTGCCCCGGCCTGATCCCTTGGCCCCGAGTCCCCATCATCCCTGGGGTCAGAGGTGACTGTCCCTTTCACCTAGGAGAGACACCCTAAGATGTGCCTGCGCCTGCCCTCCCACCTAGACAAGAGGAGACCGAGGCTCACAGCAGCTTTGGTCCAGGAAATGTGGCTGTCAGGTGTTGTGTCCGGGACTGGACCTCATTCCTGGGGAGCCCACAAAGCCTTCATCTGGACCTGGACCCGGACCCTCAGCCTGGCTGCCTGGCTCCAGCCTTTGCAGTGCCACGGCTCAGGTGGTGACTGGGCCCCAGGAGACTGGATTTTCATAAGGCTCCTGATGTGGTTCTCTGATAGCTGTGAGTCCCCTGGCCGCCAATCTCAATGTTTCTTGATCACTGGAGCGGGGAGGGCTCAGAGTGGCAATGAGTCGCCTGTCACCCAGGCCCTGGGACCTCTCTAGCAGAGGGCACTGCCAGCCTGTGTCCAGGGGTTGAGAGGTGATGGACTGTGGTCAGAGGCTTTGGTGACACGCAGGCTTCTCTGTGTGAGGCTCTGCCCAGCCCTCCCCAGGATGAGTTGGGCACCAGCTAGCCGAGGAGACAGTGGGAGTAGGAAGACGTGATTTCACCACAGGAAGGTGTATGACCTTCATCGAGGAGGAGCTCAAGAGGTCACTTCCCTTTTTCTTCAACTTTTCTCTAATCTCAACAGCCTCTTCTTCATTTCCCCAGCCAACTGGGCAGCCCTCCTCTCCTCCTTCAAGAAGAGGCTTTCCTTCTCTTCCGTCAGTAGGGAACTTCTCTTACGTGGGGACTTTCACTTGAGTCACCTCTTCCCCTATCCATTCTTAGATCTCATTTCCTAAGCCCCTGCGTGCTCTGCAGCTTTCCACCCATGGGCATCCTCTTTCCATCCCCTGACTTTGCCTACTCCCATTCCTTGCTTCCCAAGTCCCTCTTTCCTTGATTTGTAACCCTTCCTCTTACTGGTCCCCTTCTCAGACCTCTTTTTTACCCACCCCCCTCACCTGATGATCTTGGGATTTCATCAACCACCTTAGTTTCCAAGGGTAGGTACCGTTCAGAGCTAGGCTGGGGACTCTGTCCTCAGACAAGCAAGACAGTTGATAAGTAGCTCTGAGTTCTTGCAGTTGCCTTTTTCTGCTCCATAAAATGCAGGTTCTGATCTGTCTAAATCTAATTTTTCCCAGATTGGACTTATTATATTCAGTGCACCTTCCTTGGACTCCAAGAGGATGGCGTTCTAGGTGGGGTCACTCTGCCTGCTCATTTCAACTCTTTTAAAGGGGAGGCTTGGTTGGCATGGAGGACAGACATGAGGAAATAAAGATGGGGATGTGTTCTGAGGAATGGGTCTTTTGCTGAAATTGTCATTGCGAAACATCCTGCAGGGACCTCCTCTCATCTGTGAGAGCCAGGAGGTCCATCAGTAGGTGACATCAGGTGATGGAACCTCCACTGTATATGTGGCACTTTGATAGCAAAAATGTCAAATGTGACACAGGACTGTACATTTACTGTGTTGTTCCATCACCCCCGCCATCCCTCTCCAGAAGATCCTCGCCCTTCTGAACAGAAATTGTGCCCCACAAGGCACTGACAACCTCGTCCTGATTTCTACCTTCCTGTCTTTAAAGGCTTCTACTTTCACCTCTTCCTTTGCCCTCCTACTCTCCCTTCCTCCCTCATTCCCATCTCATCTGTCTGTCCCCCTTTGATTTTCTGTTTTTGCTTCTGGCTCGGGAGTTGCTTCCGGCTGCTTTTCTCTCCGGATCTCCTGTGTTCTCTGATGTTCTCACCTCCTGAGATGCTTCTCTGCAGATATTCAGAGGGATCAGCTGAAGGATCTTTGATGGAGGCTGAAGGGTCCGTGCTGGAAGCCAAGAGACACTGAAGATGAAAGTGAAGACTGGAGCTCCTCCAAAGAAACAGAAGTGAGTCTTCCTTGTTTCCCTTTTATTCCATTCAGGCAGCCAGGCTTTTGGTTTGTGTCACTCACACCCAGGGTGGGTCTTCTGTCTTCAGTAAATCACTCAGCCACATGCAGGATCTATGCTGACCCAAATTATTTATCTTTATTAAATTTATTGGTACATATTAGGTATACAACACAGTTACATTCATCATTGGGATCTTATTTTTCCCCATTCCCCAGCCCTCCCCTCAGCCCCTCCACCCTTCCCTGTTTACAAAGACATTGTTTCCATGTTTTTCCTTTTCACAAATTTTTTCTTCTCCCTTTTTACCTTTTCCCTACCCCTTCCACTTCCTTTTCTCTTTTAGACTTTTCTTCCTATTACATAATATCAATTATACATTTTAATCCTTATTAACACTTTTGCTTTTTCACACCAGAGAAACTGTTTGGTATTTACACATGTGTGACTTATTAATTTCACTTCAGAATATGGCCTCAAGGGCCAGGGATTTAGCTCAATGGTTCCACCACCTGCCTTGCAAGGAGGACAGGCTGGCCTTTGCCTGGCACAGTGTGTAGGGGGAGGCAACAAGAGATTCCTTGAGGCCACTACCACAAGTTCTGTTTTTGCTTCCCACAAAGCTCAGCTCCAAGTCACTGTCCTGGGGACGCTCCTCTACAGAACACACATGAGCCAGGACACTGCTGAGCATGTAGCAACAAGGGACCTTTTGCAGGGATCAGCAGGCTTTGTGTGTGGTGAGCCTAAATCCGGGTCAGCATCAGAGCCCAGCCCTGTTCCTGAGATGTGGTGAGAGGTGCGGAGCTGGCCCAGTCCTGGGTCACCTGTAAGTTCTGACTTGCTGGGCCAAAAACTGCAGCATTTGAGGATGGAGGATGTGGCTAAGTGGCATAGCCCTTGCGTAGCATGTGTGAGATTCTGGGTTCCATCCTCAGCACTGAAAGAAAAACAAAAACAATAAAGAAATTAAACAATCATTCAGCACATCCAATTCTGCAGTGCTCACTAAGTCAGTTTGGCCCCTGAGCAACTGTCCCCCATCCTCACCCAGGCCTGTTGAACCAGCCTTCACAGGCACCTAAGCAGCAGAGCCGCCAAGCATTTGCCCTGCTGGGCCTGGCCTGTTCAGCATGATCTGGACCCTTTAACGTTCTTCCAGGCCCAAAACAGCTGCCTGGCTCACACCTTTCACCACTCTCTGCACGTCTGTGCCCACCTGGCAGGGTGTGTGACCTGTATAGAGCTGACTCCCTTTAGGGTGGTCCAGCCTGGCCAATGGGGCATGGAGCGCCTGAACACACAGGGCTGCTGGCCAGGCCATAATCGCCTTAATCTGGAAGACTGTCTCCACCTACGCAGATTCTACTGCCTCTGCAGTTGTACCACCTCCAGGAAGCTGAGTATGACCACTTCCTTCTCGGACAACCCAGTGACACAGGAGGGCAGGGCTCCCACAGCCAGGCTCTCAGCAAATGCGGGCAGGGGCCGGTTCACGGGTGCCACTAAGGCCCAGAGGAAGAGTCTCTGTTTTGTGACCAACACCTGCATAAAGTACAGACAGGGAGCTCAGGACTTATTCATGGGATTAAAAGTCATGGCGTAAAGCTACTCACCAACATTCCTAATTGTTTCCAATCTTGTAAGCTACCGCTGTTCCCTTAGAACGTTTTCATTGTATAAGATCCATACAATATAGAATAAGAAAGAATCATCATTTTAAGTTTTGGAGGTTAAAGCTGTCAATTTGTTACTTTACGATTTCTGGATTTTGTATATTTAAGAGAGCTAAGATCATAAAAACACTTTTAGTGTTTTATATTTATGCTTAACTATCTGGAGGGTTTCTTCTTAGTAAATGAATACTTTTTGTAGTACTGGCATATAAACCCAGGGGCACTTTACCACTGGGTTAAAACCCAGCCCCTTTTTGGCTTTTGAACTTTTTGAGACAGGGTCTTACTAAATTCTTCAGGTTGGCCTCAAACTTGCAATCCTCCTGCCTCAGCCTCCTGAATATCTGGGATTACAAGAGTATGGCACCACACCCAACTCAATAAACACTTTATCCAGAAATGGTGTGGAACATCTGCATGCCATTTCACGAGGAGAGCCAGATGGGTACAGACCATTTACTGTTTTAGCCTTTAACTGCTTCAAAATGATCAGAAAATAACTTCTGAACAATTCTTACAAATAGGTCTACTTCCTGTTTCTCTTTTCTGGTGTCTCCATTGATTTGCTTATTCTTCTTTTAATGCCATCTACATAGATCATTTATTGTTTTGATGTTTGTAAGGCCCATGTCCTTCCTTAGAACTTGTTGGCTACTCCTGAGCAGTCTCCAGAATCTTAGCTCCAGATACACAAGAGACCAGTAGGCCTAGCAAATACAAGCCCTCCATCAGTAGGTCTGTACTGCTGCCCACTCAGCCTGGAGCTATAGGCAAGACGATATAGGTCTGGCAATGGTCAGATCTTGCTGGGACATTGCTTGGTGAAGTCCTTGCAGCACAACCTGGGCCTGCCTCGCTGAGGAAGCACCTCTGATCTGCTTGTATCTGGGCCTGAGCACAGAAATAGCTGCAATTTCAGAGCTCTGCAAACTTAACACAAAGCAACTTTACCTCCCAAAGAGCTATGCCCCAGCAGCAATGATGCTGTCTGCTGAGAGGATGAAGTCTGTCACTGTAGGTGGAACACTCTGCCCAGCCTCCCCCAGGCTTAGGGAAGGTTGGGACCATTCTTTTGTGTGAGATATTCTTTGAGTTTAGCCGGTTCTCTCCAAGACACTGGGATCAATTGTCTTTAGGGCTTGTGTGGAAGCCTTACAATATACAACATCATGATCATTACTGTACCTTCCTGGCAGGCTGAGTGGATGTCAACTTCCTCACCCCTGGTGCGGCTGTCTTTGTTCAAAGGCCTCTGGCAGAGAAGCAACCACCTCCACCTTGGGCAGCCCCTGATCCGCCAGCTGGTTCCAATGCAGACAGAAAGCCAGATAGCCAATTTGACAAACCGTACTTCCTGAGGCCTGACGCAGGGTCCTGGAGGGTCTCATTTCTCCACAGAGAAAGTAGCATGGCTATAAATATTTTGGATGCTTTTGAGATCATAACTATGTTTTCCCCAGTATTTTTTCTTCCCTGTCTTCCTTTCAGGCAGAGCTGTCTCTGAGAAAGATGTGACTTTGGCGGGGTTGTGACTGGGGATGGGAGAAAAGCAGATGGTTTTGGCCATCTCTGGGTTTTAGGTTCAAATGCCAGCCTCCTTCTGGAATCTAAAAGAACTCGTGGTTTAGATAAAATGCTTGTAAGAAGCCAGAGAAGAGAGAAAAGCTTATCCCACAAGCCACAAGAGGCCCCATCCTGTGCGGAAGAGAGCAGGGTAGGGAAAAGCCTGAGATGGCGCAGGCACTGAGCCCCAGGAAAGGGGCAGAGTCTGGGAGGTGGTAAGGACTGGAGGAGCCCTGGCAATGAGGCTAGGCAGATTCCTATGGCCACATCTGGCACATGAGCCATGGGGGCTCATGCTGTGTGGGCAGAGAACCAGAGGCGGCCTCCCTCCCTCACAGGCCTTGGCACTTGACACAACCTCAGGGAAAACGGAGGAAACTGGAAGAATCAGGAGTTAAATTTTCCACCAGCAGCGCTGGAGAATAGCTTGAAATTATAGAGGAAAATAAAGTATGGTCCTGCCCATGTGAGCTTCAGAAAGAAACTCATTAACTGCTACATTTATTTTTACACATTTTAAATGTTGTAGAAAAGGTCACTTACCTGATGCTTGTAATTATATTTTATCTTTTATCAAAGTAATATATTGCACCGTGTGCCTCCCATGGTCACAGTCATGACAGTGTGCCGTTTCCTGGGCCCTGTCTGCATGCATTTTTGTACAGATTTGTACACACACATATATGAGGAGGTTCGGGCTTTTTTGTTTGGTCTTGTTTCACATAAATGCGCTCATATATATTTTTCTGAAGATTGATTTTTCTCTGTTCATTGTTTGGAACTTTGCTTTCTGGTACCAAATAAAACATTAAAAAAAAGTAATATACTGCAAGCTAGCATGGTGGTGACACCTATAATCCCAGCACTCAGGAGGCGGAGGTATGAAGATCACCATGAATTTGAGGCCAACCTTGGCTATAGTGAGTTCAAGGCCAGCCTGGACTACATAGTGAGATCAAGTCTCAAAAAACAAACAAACCAAAAAACAAAAACAAAAATCAAATATAAATAGAGGGTAATAGTGCATATACCACGTGGTAGATCTGAGTAACATGTTAGTTCTATACTTAACAATCACTTTATGGGGGAAGTCATGTGCCCAGGGTCAAAAAGCTACTAACTATACAGTGGATTTAAACCCTGACAGGAATTTCAGCATCACAACACACAATATTATCCAATATGCTGAGCTCCTTCTCCCACATAGTTAAGAAATCAAAATTGAACTATGAGGTAGTAGCAACAAACAGCAGTCCTCTGCACCAGCCATAGACTATGCCTCTCCATCTCTAGGCCTAGCCACCTCCTTTGTTCCCACATGACCTCAGACAGGTTACTGCGACCGTGCAGGACACTCTTCTGGCTTCTGACTGTACCAGTTGATCCTTGCACTGGTTATGATCTACCAAGTTAAATTAAATGCATTTGCCCTCCAGTTCCCTGATTATGGGTTCCCTTGAACACTGAGCTCTACTGCAGTTTCCCTGGGCTTATCTTGGGGGAGCTCTCCACTCTTCTTTCTCTGTCCCTTCCTGACCGCAGATCTTTGGTGGTGTTTCTCTGTGCTCTCCTGATCCAGCATATTCTCAGCATTTCAGTGAATCTGCCCTCAAATTTTACGAACCTGAGATTGCAATACCAATATTCCTCATTTAACAACCGACCTGTTTGACTATTCAGACTTATGACCTTTTTGGGGGTATAGTACACCTTTTTTATACAGTACTGTAATTTTTGTTGTGTATAACAGTATAATAGTTTTATGTTTATTACAGTACTGCATATAGAAGTTATGCAAATAAAAATTATCAAGTTGCAGTTTCCTTTGATCATTTCTTTGTTCCGAATATTGTAATATACATACTATATACAATTCCTCATTTAAGGACTAATTCATTTAACAACCTAGTCAAGGGACTGAACGCAGTCAAACAAGGAATTGTATTTTATCCTGGCCCAGGGGAGGATCTAAAGAGCTCAAGCAAGACTTTCAAAGGTCTACATGTGCAAAGAAACTCCCCTCTCCTGCCACTGCCTCCCCTTCCATCAAAGCACAGATTCTTCTTTCATCATGTAACTTCTGGGTTAAGAACCCTGGGGTTCAAAGATGGGGTGACTTACCTAGTAGCTAAAGATTTTCTGAAAAATCTGGAAATTTCTTCACTTTGTTCATTCAAGAGATGGCATCCACTTCTCATCTCTGGTAGAATTCAGGACCATATAGGGATTAAAGAAGATAAGGCCTAGTTGAAACTTATTTTAAATGAAACAATCATTCAGTACTGAGCTAACAGTATTGGTGCAGCAGTGCCAGCCTCTTGAAAAGCACTGACTCCCAGCACTCAGATTGTGCAGGGGCATCCCTGGATCTACCTGAAATGGCCTAGATTCTGGCCTGCCTGGCCTGCTCCTGTCTCAGCCGGCAGTGGGCACAGCTGAGCTCCTTACTGTTGGGCAGGAGACCTCAGGTGGTACACAAGACATCTACTGCCCTTTAAGAGAAATGGTCATTGCTTTTTTTTGTATCGGGGATCGAACTCGGGTCCTGGTGCTTGTGAGGCAGGTGCCGGAACCACTGAGCTAAATTCCCAGCCCTCCAATTTAAGATAAAAATGAAGTTTTATTAAGTGTCACTGGTGTCCCCTTTGGGTCCCAAGTGTCATGGTACCTCTAATCTAATCAGCAGCCTAGGGAAACAGAGGCAGACTCACAGGTCATTAACACAACTGAAGTTTACATGCTACAGGATGTACTAGCTTTGAGGGTCCCAAACGGTGTGAATCTCCTATCAGAATGCTGCCATCTGCACCTGGACAGCATTCTCTGACCCATTTCCACGTTTCCCAAATGAAGGCATCCAGTGGATTTTGAACTCTGTTAAAGCACTAAAGCAAAGTGCTTTATGAATTCCTGCAAGCTGCAGAAGTTACTAAAACTATGTATCAAAACAGCTTTAAATCAGAACTTCAAAAAGCACTGAACCTTGACTTTAAAATGTTTCTCATTTTAGAACCTTTTAGAGCAAAAATGTATTTTAGACTGTCATTAACTAGTAAAGATTTTAAAACTTATTAACTCATAGCATTTCATTTTTTGTTTTTGTTGTTGTTGGAGACAGGTTTTCACTATGTAGTTGAGACTGACCTGGAACTCACTATGTAGCCCAGGCTGGTCTCAAACTCACAGTAATCCTCCTGCCTCAGCCTCCGGAGTGCTGGGATCACAGGCGCAAACCACCACGCCAGGCAACTCATTGCATTTCAAAGGAATTAATGTTTGTATAATTTAACTGATAAAGATGCCTAAACTTTTAGAGTCACATGACTCATAGGTTCCGTTCCAGTTACCATGGCAAGGCAACAAACCCCTCTAGATTTGGTGATGTAAACCATCACCATCTTCGTGTACTCATGGATTCTGTGGTTAGACTGGAAAGGACACAGAAAAGATGGCTCTGCTCCCCTGGGTGCCCAGGTCTTGGTGAAATTAAGAGGTGGTGGCTGCAATCATCTGATTTCCTTTGGGAAGATCTCTGGCAGTTGATGCTGGGTGTTTGCTGGAAGCTCAGTGAGAGATATTGGCTAAAGTACCTGCTCACGGCCTTGCTATGTGGCTGCTCAGATCTTCTTACAGCAGGGTGACCAGGCTCCAAGAAAGTAGGAACTGCCGGTACCCTTAAAATCTGAATCTGCAAACCGGCACAGCGTCATTTCTACTACACTCTATTAGTCTAACAATCACAGAGCCCACATTCAAGAGGGAGGACCTAGACCCAAAGCAATGAAGTATTAAAAAACCTGGGGAGTATGCTATAAAATTCTGCAAATTCTGAGGCTGGGGCTCAACCTACCATACGGGTTGTCTGGCTGCATATGAACATTTATATTTACAAAGCTCTATATCTCACTTTTCATCTCTGAAGTAACCTTACTGCCAGGCATGATGGCATATGCCATTAAACCCAGAATTTGGGAGGTGAAGGGAGGAGGACCCCCACGAGTTCAAGGCACGCCTAAGCAACACAGTGAGTTCAAGGCCAGCCTGAGCAGTCTCAGCTTGGCTGGTATTTAAATGCCTCAGGAATCTTTCCTCTTCTGGATTGTTAATGACTTCCACATCTCCAGCTCAGTTTTTCGACTCTGCTTCCAGCTTTCCGTGGAACTATTCTACTTGAACACAGGCCTAGGTCTCTCAGTGGGTCAGCTGCCCGAGGGCAGCGCCAGGGCACCCTTCAAAGAGGAAACTCACAGTTTAGATTTTATTTGGGGGTAGGATGGGGGAAGCAGATGGGAGCAATATAGGAGGTGGAAGGAGGAAGAAATGGTTCTGGCTGAGGGGATGGCCTGGTCACTAAACTCATTGTTCTTTTTGCACAACCAAGTTGGATGGATGGCTGTTTTAGCCTGGAAGACCACAGTGAAAACCTATAATTAGATGGGTACTCAGGATCGGGACAAACTGGAAATCACATCTAAAAAAGCTGAAGGGCTCTCTTGAGCTAAATAAGAAAACAGTGAAACCAGAGAGAGTCCCCGCGGTCTTCATACCTGTGGCTGCTTGTCAGAGGGAAAGGGGCACAACAGCATTCTGCTGCAAAAGGCAAAACAAGAACTATATGGCAAGTCCCAGTTTCAAGGAGACAGGTCTCTCGAGGAAATTCTGAGGTAATTTACGTGAGGGTTGGCAATGGCAATGAAACAGACCAGAGCTATGCTTTTCAAGAACTGGCTGGGAAAGGAAAGGACGAAGGCAGAGTATAGGACTGGGTCTGGCTTGGACACACAGAGTAACTTCTCAGTTATCTCTTAACTCTCAGCTATTGAGTCCATAAAACTCTAACTTAGGACAAGTGTCTTTTGGGGTGAAGAGTGTGAAACTAACCTGAGAACAAACAGATGAAGTCGAAAACACACATGGGTGGGGCTGGCCTCAGCAGGTGTGACAGGCAGTTTTACAAAGTCCCTGCCCCACCTTCCAGTTTATCCGTGTCACTTCCTTCACCCCAACTCAAACCATCACTCTTTCAACTGCTCAGAGATGCCCAGTCTCTTTTACACCTGTGCCTCTACTCCACCCATCTCTCACTGAGCAGTACATCCTTGAGAACCTACACACAAAGCCCCAGTGCTGTGTGTGGTGGTGGGATAAGCAACATGGGGCTATGTTCCAGGCAGCCTAAGAACCAGACCTCCATCAGCATAACAAACTCAAGCCACACCTGGAAGCTGGCTGACTCAAACACGTTTATTGAGCTACCACTTGGGCTTGGAGGAAACTGGGGACGAAGTCCCAAACAGACAGGAAACCAGGGGCTCACTTAACCCAAAGAGCTAGTACCCTTCTCCAATATGGAGGCAAAGCCCACCCCACTCCAAACACAGTAGAAACAGAGGGTCAGCACCATGGTGCAACAGGGAGGACAGGAACTCTCAGCCTCTCTACACCACTGGAGAGGAGGGTTGGTTAGAAAGGAAAAGCCACCTCTCCCTGTCAGAGATGAGAGCTGAGACCTCAAGGAACTCTTCATTTTGCTTCTTCCTCCTCTTTGTCTTTTCCAAGTGGTCATGTCCTTGAGGTGGGGAAGGGAGGGGCAGAGGATCCTTTCAGAAATCCTGTAACGAGAAGGATGAAAGGAAGCTACAATCATCACAAGATTCCAAAGGGCAACAGAAGACTGTGTGCCCTCAGCTGATTGCAACTTCCCCTGATAAAGCTCCAGAGACCACCAGAGGGCTGCCCAAGGGCTTTGGCCTTCCTGTCTACTTGACACGTTGCCCAGCAACATTTCGAAGGACACAACCCCTGCTCCAGGCACACTTACCTCTATGTTCAGCTCTGTAGTATCCAATAGGTCCAGTCCTTGTTCACTGAGTGAAGAGTGGCTACTGGGTTGCTAGAGGGAATGGTGTCAAATCAGCAAGGTCTCTCCTCCCTCCCAGCACAAACAGCAGCACTGCTCCCTGTGCAGTTACTTAGGAACAAGCTCCAGGGGCTGCCCATCACCCATTACAGAAGCACCTCCTCTCTTGGCCTGCCAACTGAACCCCTTAAATACATTCAGTTTTGTAGCCAGAAGATGGGATTCTCCAAGGACTTAAGGAAAGACTGAATAGAGGAGAGGCCTTGATTTCTGGTCTCTGGTATGAGGATATCATAGCTTGGATTTTCTTCTGAGCACAAGGCCTCCATTCTCCTGTTTTATTATGTTCTTTCCCCTTCCCAGAGCAGAGCTGAGAGCAAAGCAGAAGGATAAGATGAAGGTACATAGCCTGGTCTGGACTAAAATATCTGCACTCCCCTTGAAGCCAGATATTGGAATCTTAAGCCCTGAAATGATGGACAGTATTAGGACATGGGACCTTTGGGAGTGATTACATCAGATACTGGATCCTTCAAGAATGGGATCAGTCCCTAGGAGACCAGAGAGCGCCAGTGTGCTCTTTTCTCTGTGAGAGCAGACAAGGTATCAGGCAGTGTACAACCCACAGGAGGCCCTAACCACAACCTGACCATGCTTACACTGACCTTAAGACATCTGGCCTCTTTGGACCTCCTTGGACTTCCAGAAAATGTCTATTGCTTGTAAGCCACCAGTCTATGGTGCTATGTTATGGCAACAGGAACTAAAACATAGCCTTTTGCAGTTTATAAGGTGCTTGTACTCAGTTTGTGTACAAGCTCCAATGTAAAGATGAGGAAACAAAATGAGAAGGGGTAATGAGCTCATCTGATGTGGAACTGAGGACTCACACTCAGGTCATCTCACTCTTAAGTTCTGTACTTTTTCCCTACTACACTGCAGCATTCCTCCAGGGGAAGCAAGGAGCCAGGGACTGGAGGGACAAAGACAGAAACAGGCAGCCCGCTTGGGAGAGAGAAGGGGGGGGCATGGCTGTGTTAGGAGAGCTACATAAATGCACTGAGAGGGGGTCTGATGACCTTCCATGACTGGCTCCAGGGCCCCTTCCTATTCAAACAAGGTTCAGAGACACCAATACTTACTAGGCTGGAAAGGGAGAGTTTTTATAATCTTTTCTGTTATTTTTATTTTCTTAATTTCTCTAATAAAAGCAAAGTCCAAGAGCAGTCCACAGCAACTTATAACCTTTCCTCCTTTCTTCTATGATTCTTTCAAAAAGTTCTCAGTCATGTTCAAAGCCAAGGTCATCACATCAGGGCTGAGAGAATTCCTATGCTATTCCTACCTATCAGCTTCCAAGTCTAGAGCAAAATGGGAACGCTGGATCCACATACCTTCTTTGTATTCTGCCATTCCTCACTTGATTCATCTAGACTTTCTAGCTCTTCTTCATCCTCTTCCATAAGGCTGAGTCTACAGATGGTGGCAAAGAGTAGATGTTTCCAAATTGTTTCTTAAGGACTCCTGAGAGTGTCCCAGAGGCACCAGGGAAAAGCGGTAGGGAGGAAGTAAGGTACTCCTGCCTCAGAGGGAGCACCTCTCTACATTCTAGGCCTTCACAGTGCATTGGAAGGAAGTATTCTGGGGCTCAGAGAAGCTCAGGCTAAGGTGAGAATCTCCTCAGGATGAGTGACACACGGGAAGTGAGGACACAAGATGAGGAAAAGCTCACCGGGTCAGCTTGTTGTCCAGACCAGGACCTGAAGGGCTGTATGGAGTCTGAAAATATGGTGCACTTGAGAGCCTCACCCTCTGGGTACCTGAGAGGAACCGGCTATTGAGAAAGAAGCAGAATCAGTAACAGGGAATAAAAAAATAAATAAAATAAAGGATTAAAAAAGAGAGGTGCTAAGGAGAGAAAAGCTGAAAGTGTGAGGAGAGAAACATCATAAAGCTAAAAGAAAAGAAAAGGTAAGATTAGAGAGGAAAATAAGTATTAGAGAAGCACTGAAGGAAGTAGGCATGCTGCAGGGGGAATGAAGAGAAACACCAAATCTGGGATCAGTTTCTCCTCAGCTTTACCTCTGGCTGAACTCTGATTCCAAGCCATCTACTCCTTCAGTCTCTCCCAGCACTCCCAGGGGCTGCTTGTTCTTCACAGCAGTGGAAGTAAGAGTGGGTGTGGGTGGGACACTGCTGAGCTGCAAGCTTTCCTCTTGGTCTGCTCCCTGATGCTTGCTGGGGCCTGCAAGGAAGCAGATATATAGCAGATAACCCAGGGACCTGCCATGGTCTGTTTAACCTTTAAGACCTAACCTAGGCAAGATCTAGTAAGGGAAATTAAGCAGAAGAGAATGGAAAACTTATACACCCTCATTCTAATCTACCTCAAAAATGAACAGAGTCCTCCATACTGAATGCACATCCCCACACATTACAGAACAAGGCTTGTGGGATCTTATCTGTACCTTGTCCAAGAACAACTCACTACAAAGCTTAGAAAACAAGATAGAGATACTGTAAGTATCCATTTCACAGATGAACAGTAACATGAAAACATGAATGTAAAGATGATTAGATTTACTAAGACTGAAAGGTTTGAATCAAGCAAGAAGACATCTGAAATCCTAACCATTCTACAGTTCTGCAGTTAGAAAAAGCTTAAAATACCAAGTTTCTGGACTAGCAGCTACAGTGGATGCATGAGGGACAGAGAAGAGCAGGAAAATGGAACACAGGATTTCTGAGAGTTGGGGGGGGAGCACACAGGGAGAGACAGAGAGAGAGAGAGACAGACAATGACAGTGTAGTTCTGGTGAGAAGGGTGAATAGAGGATCTGCTGTCCTCTGCAAACTGGAAAAGGCAGAGGTAGACAACACCCAAGGTTATTACCTGAGGTTCTCATTCCCTGAGAAAACCTGGATGATGCTATTTTAAAGTAAAAGTTCACCCTAAAACTTGTACATGAATCTTAACATCACCATGCTTAACAGTCAAGAAATGGAAGCAACTCAATTGTCAATCAAATTATCCATACAACGGAATATATTCTGCTATAAAAGTGAGGTACTGATACATACTAAAATACGAATAAACCCTGAAACATGCTAGGTAAAAAAAAATCAGACACACAAGTCCACATATATAGTTCCATTTAGACAATGTGTCTAGAACAAGCAAATTCAGAGATAGGAAGATTAGTGATACCCACTAGGGCTGGGAGTTTGAGGAGAATCTGAAGTGACTGCTAACAAAGTACATGATTTCTTCTGCAGTGATGAAAAATGTTCTAAAAGTAGATATTGGTAATGGCTGCACAGTGCAGTGAATATACTAAACCATCAATGCATATACTCAAAAGGGTGACTTATGCTAGGTGAATTATATCTCAATGAACCTGTAACATTTAAAAAGTCACATTCTGAAATACATACTAGAAAATAATATCACACTCATTTCTAGGATATTAGTATGACACTATGTTTTTAAAAAATCAAAGAAAAAACTGTCAATTACAAGACAGGTAGTGATTTGAAGGTTAAAAAAAAAATCAAAAAGGTTGCGCAAAAAATCTTGAAAACAATGGAATACAAGCTGGGGGAGGGGCATCCCAAATGTACAGATTAGTTAAATCTTTGGTTTATTATTGTCTATTTCATTTTTCAAATAGACTTGCTATTTTTAGTTAGCTAGCTAAACCTTGAAGCAAAATACCCTTAATTCTAGTAGATGCTCAATGAAATATTTCACAGAACAGAACTTTGATGAGGTCAAAACCATCTCCTGCTCATGTAAGCAGTGGCAACCAGACCCACCATGCCAAGCATGCTGATGCCCACCCCCAGCCATCTACCTTCAATGCGCCTCTTTTTGGAGCGGGAGTGACCCGGAGGACTGGCCTCTGCTGTGTTCTCTACAGGGGTAAGGGAGCGGCGGTAGGTAATGACTGGACCCCAGGGACAGCCAGGTGTTTGGGGGACACGCTGCAGACACTTCTCCAGGCAGGACAGTCTAAGGGAGGCATGGAGCAGAGAGGCTGCAGTGGCCACCAGATCCTTCCCAGGCCCTTCTCTAATCCACGCTTCTACTCATCCACGAACTTACAGCAGCTGCTTGTCTTGATGGAAAAGGCGGGGAGAGAACTCTGAAAGGAGCTCCAGGAATGCCAGATTGGGGGGCTCATCAGAGGAGCCAGCTGGAGGAAACTCGGACAAGGAGAACTCGATGCCTTCCCTTAGTTGGGCAGAATCATTTTAGGAAGATAGTTCCTTCCCCACTTCCCTCCCAGGGCTGGAATATCCCGTCCAATCATACCCTCCTGTCCCACACAGTCTCTGACAGCGTACCCTCCACCAATTTAACTGCTACTTCTTTCCATGTTACCCTCCCTCCATGATCTCATACCCATCCTTCCCTCAACCTAGCCCCAACCACTGCTTCCTCACTTGTGCAGCTTGATCACAATGTCACGGTTCTGTAGTTGCTGAGGTCCAAAGCTCAAGGCAAACTTCCGGGCCAGGTCCCTCATCTCCATGAAGGCTGGCAATTCACTTAGACCTTGGGGTCCCCGCTCCTGAAGTAGTTCTGTGTATAGCTGTGTCCAGGAGATGGGGCAAGTTTTGGGAAGGAACAAAGCAGCACAAGAGAAGCAGAGCAGCATCTCCTTCTCTAATGAGAAATTCCAGGGGGGCCTGGAATGCCATCTATTCTGCATCTTTCTTCCCAGGACACTACCCTAAGCCCTGACCCCCTGCAGCACAGGCAGCCTTTAGTCCTGCTCTATAAAAACAAACACATCTGTAGTAAGGGAAGGAGGCTACCAGGGAACAATTCTCTGTCACTTCATTGTTCCATGCTCCCAGGTCCTAACTAAGGGCTGATTTCTAGGCTTGGGAAAAAACTGCTTTGTTAGAAACAGATTTTCTAGGGGGCTCCTGGGTATGAAGAAGCCTGTTACATAAAGTAAGATTCAAAATAAGAAAGTTTTTGCTCTTAAGGACCTTACATCCTAAGAGTTGAGAGCAAAAATGTGGAGACAATAAATAGGGAGGGGTCCTGAAAGGCTTGAGCCCCTCTGGGCACAAGCAAGTACCTGCTTGAGACTCAGCAACAGGATTCGGGAACAATGGCTTCGGTCAATCTGCCTTGCTCTGGTCAACGTTTCCTTGATAATGTCACCATAGTCATTATAAAACTGAGGCAGAGAAATGAAGAAGGTACTGGTTGACAATAAGAAAAAAATTTTTTTTCTTTAATATCTGTAATCATGCCTCCTTTCCAAAGAGCAAGGATCAGGAAAAATGAATCTAACCATTAAATAACTCAGATAAGACCTCATTTTTAATCAAAAGAAATCCCAGTTTAGGTAAAAATATACTGAAGAAACTCTTCCTGACCCTAATTCATGGAGAAGAGTGAGGGCCGGTGCCCACTCTCAGCCAGCACAGAAGTCTGTGCATCTCTCCTCTCCAGAAGAAAGCTCCATGGAGCAGGGTCTGTGTTCTGTTCACTACGTCATCTGCGCCTGGAATGCCAGGCACCTGGGAAGAGCTCAGTAACAGAAGCAAGTCAGTGGGCTAAGACTGAGCTACCCATCTAAGCATCTTGCAAAGACTGGTTTCTTCCTCCATCCTTTTTTTTCGCCCTTCTTACATTACTCTGGTCTGTATGACTGGGTTTGAAGCAAAGCAGATTTTCAAGCAGGAAGAATAATCTATTCTCCCTCCAAAGAATGCAAATATCTTAGTAGCTTTTTCTCTGTATATAGTATTAAGTCTTTTTCCTTTGTTCCTTTATTCTAAACTCTTACTGCCAGTCCCTCTTCCTTCTCCTTTATGCCTAATCCCATAAGGCCCACCCCAACTTTCTAAGATGTTGTGTTTGAGCTCCAGGCTGTGCTCTGCTTAGTCCCCTCTCCTTTGTGTTGCAGGGCCTCAGAGTACCTTGTTGTAGTGTTTGAAAACATCTGACGCGGCATCCAGCTCCAGTACCCCATACAGCAACAGCTTGCAGAACCCAGCAAGGAGGCGGCGCCGCTGGTGCAGCTGCTCTATCTGCCTGTGATCATCCTGGGTCTGACCTGGGACATAAAGACAGAATTAACACAGCTCTAGGCCTCTGCCCTAAATTCCTGAGCCAGGCCCAGTCCCAATCCCTTCATATGCCATGGGCTTAAAAGTGCCAGTACCACTGCCCAGGTCTCCAGACTGAAGGAAGACGTGGTCCATGAGGAAGCTGGCTAATTCAGACTGGAGAGTAGCTTCTGGGGAAAAGATGAGGGGCCTAAGGAAATCTCGTCCCCCTGCAATCATTTGAGGGCTGAAGATGAGAAGCAGATCGCTCAATAAAACAAAAGCCTGTTGGGGGGCGGGGGAAACCAGGATGATTAAAACAAGAGTACTTGATAAGACTAGAAGTACACAAGTAATCTCCCTATGGAACAGGGAGGGACCAAGAGGGACATTCCCTTTCTTGATCCCATTTGAAAAAGTGCTCACCTGCTCCTGGATCTCTAGATCCACATCAGAGAGGCAGTTCTGGCAGAGTTCACAGACAGCCACCATTCTGCCCTTCAGACTCAACAACTGCTTCTGTGGAAACAGCAGCTTGCAGGGAGAATGAAGACATTGGTTTCTCCTTCCTCATCCCCCTCTTTAGACCCATACTCACCTGGGAACCACCTGACCCAGAAATGTGGGTTAGCGTCCAGAGAATGGAAAAATAGACAAGAGTCAAGGCTGGCAGGATCACCTGTAATCATAAGATGCCAAAAAAAAAAAAGTTTGAGTCAGTACAAAGAGGGGCAGGTGGTGAGAGAATGACAGAAATGTATAAAGGGGGGGGGACAG